GACACAGCGGCTGCCAAACCAATTCTGAAGAGCTCTTCTGTAGCTCGAGGTTTTACTAGTTCGAGTGTAATAATCAACATTCTTCATCAGTGAGTCTAAACAAATATGTACCCTGAATCTAACTAGAGCTCTCGTCCATCGAAAATAATGTGCGTCAGGGAACCTACGTCCCTGAACAGTAAACTACCTCATGGCGGCTTGTGCTCTGTCATAGACTGGCATCAACAATGCCCCCAAGCTGCCCCTCCTTAAGAGAGATAGCAGCAATACCCAAGGCCGTAGACCTATGCCATGGGAAAGGAGACAGTGAGAAGAGTAACCCTAACCTACCCTGATGAACTGTGTCGAAGGTTGAATACCTAAGCAAATTATTCCCTAACAAAATGTACAAATGAAAGTCACTTTTTTTGTTTCCTTATATTTCGCACAAATCAAAGGCAATATAGAACTGCTAGCACTCTTTCCCAAATGTAGATATTTCGATTTTTTTGTTGTTGTAATATTGAGTTAAAAACAAATGCTTTCAATAGTTGGTCTATTGGTTATACTTAATGCTTCAAGCTTCAGAAAACAAAAGTTTACCTAAGAATATTCTATCCGCCAAATCACATTACACGGGTTACATCATGGAAACTATATAAGAGATGGATATTGGAAAGTTCAGACTTTTCTTATTTTATGCTGAAAGGTGATAACCATGTCTTCACAGATGTCAACATGTACCTGTGCAGCTGCTCCCGTCAACTTCCTTCCACGGCAGTATGTCAATGTCAAAGTCCAGGTCTGGACCCTCATTGGTCTGAGACATCAAAGAAACACTTTTAAAACAAAAGACTGGCAGATTGGGAAAAGATGTCTGAGTAATGTACATATCATAATAATAATAATAATAATAATAATAATAATAATAATAAATACCGCAATAAACCGTATTTGATTTTGTATTAATTTACATTATTTAATTTCATATTCTGATCTTGTACATATCCCATATTCTATTTACATGTATGTAGACTTTTTGCACTACTTTTTTTTCATTTATTTGTTTATTATATATGTTGCATTGTTGGAGGAGCTCAGGTCAGAATAATGTCATTGCCATTTCTACACTGTAGCTTTGTGCATATGACAATAAAAGAAACAGGGACCATTGCCAAGAATTCCTGTTAGTCTCTTAAGAATTCCTGAGTACACCTGACACCTACAATGTAAAACATGCTGTTGTTCCTGTATCACATTTCCTTACATAATATAATGTTTTACAATGTAAGATAATAGTGCACCTGCAGCTGTGGCTGTGGCTCTCCCCGACTGTTAATAACCACACTTATTTTAGTTTCAGGTTGACAAAATACATTTGCATACTGAGAGGAAGAACTACTCACATAGCTGCCATGCTCCAGGGCCTGAAGCAGCTCTTCTGCATCTCCCATGTAGTCGAGCTCATCAAACAGGCTAATGTCTGTGGAACAACAAGCATGAAACATCTAGTCAAAATGCGGTCACACAGATACACAGACGAATCATGGCTTTAGATTTCACACATCATGATTTATCCTAGCAGCAATTATATGCACTCATATATGTTTGATTAAAACAAATATCCAATTTGGGTATGAACTGGCAAATAAGGATAGTGTAAAGTAATTGACGCTGTTACTATGTAGTTGTGTAACTGTGGGCACAAATTTTAACAATTTCGATGTCCGATAGTTCACATGATGCAACTGTCTTTTACTTAATAAAAACTGAACAAAAATATTTTCTGTAAAAGAAATGCTAAGGGAAAATGTGAATAATAAATGTCATGCTCAAATGTTTTTGGCCTATTATTGATAATCAGTCGCTGGTTAATTTGGAGCTGTGGGTCGCCAGTTCAACATGTCGAATCTGAGGCCAATTATGACATGAGATTGGTGGCAAAAATAAATCCTTCGGGTTGGCTGCTCAGCTTCGAAAAACAGCGCCCTAGCGACAGACAAACGGCTGACGCAAAGGGAAGATGGCAAACACTATTTTCATTAGACATCTTTATGTCATATGATAATTCTAACTGTCGGATATTAGTCTAATTGGCGAGTCCGTTGTCCTGAAGTTAGAATTATAAGAACCACTAAGTTCTACTATTTATGTATCAAGTCTACATAGAGAGGCAAAGTCCCTCCCTTTCCGGGGGACCTCCATGGGACCTTATTTCGGAAAAAGTATGTATTGAAGTCAATCGCGAGAGAAAGATTATCTTTCGATCCCGTTTGAATTGTGCCACGAATTACACTTTTGATGTTTGTCAAGTAACACTTTTTTTTGTGTGAAACCGCTCAATGAACTACATCTCCTGTTTCGCACCACACACCAAGACGGCCGTCACGTTAGCACATTTCACTTCTTTCTTTCAGAATGAGGCGAAAAGTATTAAACATTTCTATTAAAGAAAGACAAGGCTTTTAGTGACAATCATGTATTGCTTTTTTTTTTTTTTTTAAATAAAAGTCTAAATATGATATTTGGCCTCAAATCATCTGAGGCCTGGCGCCCCCCCTGCGCCCCCCAGTTTGGGAACCACTGATTTATGGCATTCATAATTAATATCTAATTCTTAACTTTAAATTATTTTCATTTATTTAATATTACAAATGTATTAGTCTGGCCAAACTTTTTCTGTTGAGATTCCTGGAAAAGGGAAATTACTTTTCATAAAAAAAGTCAGTACGGACGTCAAATGTCCTGTTTGGTTTGCCGTAGGTAGCTGTCCAATATTGCAGACCAACTCGCGCTTGCGCAGTGCAAATCGGGCAGACATGCAAATCAGGTGGCCAGAGTGGTACTGGTTCAAATCCTGGTTAAAAAAATTCGAATTTTGTGCTCGGTCCAAACTTGTTATTTTATGCATCAGGCACCTTGTATCTAAAGTGTATGGTCAGGACCTTAGGCATGTTCACTGTGTGTATTATGTCTAGGCGTATTGCTGGTTATTTTTTCACAAAACAGCCAAACCCAGCAGGTCTCATCCATCAACATACTACAACGAAAATAGCTCAATGCTATCTGTAGCTAAGACTCAAAGCACATGATAACAAGACATCTCTTCACGTATGTATACAGTCTATGGTAAGTACGAGCGTTGCAACTTGTCACAATATGTAAACTAAATGCACCTTTATTTATACTAATAAATATCTGATTTGGTTACCTAAACTCTGCTTCACCTTATGGGTCTGTCGGTCTGTCTGTCTATGTCACCTGACGTCAACTTAACCATGTTAAATACACCACCTATAGTAGCCTACTATAACAGTCACCTTTAGCTTGTTTGTATGTGAAAAACCACAGCAATATCGGTATACCTTTAAAACAGTACAGTATACTTTTACAGCCCTACAGTATACATGTTATTATAAAAGACAAATAAAACCGTAAACAATGCTAGAAATTCAAAAACATCACCTGAAAAATACAACTCACAGCCCTGCCATGTACATGAAATAAATTAATACAACCACATTTATCAAACAAATAAAAAGCCAAAAATGGGTTTTTATACATTGTGTCTGTTTAAAGCCTCATTAATGGTTATTAATTACATTACATTCAGGCTCAGCAGGTTACATCAGCACATCATTTCCTCATTTACTACAGCTAGCTAACGAAATGCTAACTGTATTTGCTATGACATGAAGTGGATGTAAACAGTACAACATCAACCTTCCGCCAATTTACGAGTGTCTTTTTAACGGCAACCTTGTCACAAGAAACAGTTAAGAGTCATATATATGTATATTTATTATGTATATCTGATCTGTTACCTCAATTAAAAGCTAGCTAACGCTTCTTTCCTGTTTGGGTTAACTTACCCCACTCTCCTCCCTGGTCGATAGACATTATCCCTGTTTCACTATCCATCCCGGGGTCTTTTTGAAGATGTTCTAAGTATAACGCCAAGTTGGTTGACATCCCGTTTACAATTCATGAGTCTATTGTCTCAGAAAAACAAGCGACGGCTCATAGGAATCATTCATGTTGCAGCTGTTTAGGGAGGAAATGTCCTGATAGATACACGTCTGACTTAACCGTAACTCTACGGTTGCCACCGAGGGACAAAAATGCGAAACCACAGTGTTGGGAATTAACTAGACACTGGTGCTGCCTAACCAGGCCACTAGGCAGCAGTATACAGTAAGGATACTGGACTGAAGGCTGTTAGCACCACAGTTGACCTCTTCGATAAAAGGATTGGTGGTGGCACTGAGTTCATGACCGAGCAGAGGAGATGTACTGTATTTGAATTTTGCTTAAAAAGTGTGACTTGCTGGTGATTTGTTATTTAATAAGTAAGTCACTTAAATGTTTCCCCATTTTGAAAACGTGGCTTTCTTAACTCTTGGAGTATGTTGTTCAGAATCCCTTTATTAGTCCCACAGAGGGGAAATGTACATTGTTACAGCAGGATAGAGACGAAAAGTAAAAATATCACACTGTTAGATAAAAGGGCATGCATATAGTATTTAAAATGAAATAAAATAAAAGGAAAATGTACAGAAGTACACATTCAGGGTAAATAAGTAAGTTAGCAGTACTTGTACTGTGTGGTAGAGGGTTGATTGCAGTGGTCAAATAAAATAATATATTTAACATAGGTTACAGATTCTTGTTGGAATGGACAACCTAAGATGTATAGCAGCCAGTAGTAATTATTAGCATATAAGTTCTGTTGCACAACAGTGGTTGACATGAGACATTGAGGCTAAATATAGACTGTATATGCAATTTTGCTTAAAAACAATTATTTTAAACTACTGTTGATTCAAGGATTTCACACATTAGCTTAGTGAGCTAAAGGCCTAAGTAAGAATAAACAGTCTCTTTATGTAAGTAGCAGTTAAAATGTTTGGATTATTCAGAGCTAACGTACTTGAAGAATTCTTGCTGTTCTGAATTTGTATTCTCTTGGTTAATTGCACTTATTGTGAGCTGAGAGAAAAGAGGAGTCGATACCGGATAGTCTCTTATATTCTTGAAATTAAGTCAAACTAGCAAGTGGACCTCATCTGTTTTCAAGCTCAATAATCAACTTTGAGCTGAAGTTTTAAACCGGCATGGATAAATTGTTTTAAAGGGGATATTAGTTTAAATCAAAAACGAAGCTACTGAGCTTACCTGTCAAGCCATTGAATCTCATGCTTCATCCATCCTTAAAATTAACATGATTGAAAGTTCTGAAAAACTTTAACGAATGAGATTGTAGTTTCAAAATTCAACCAGTAAGTGTGTACCCATAAAGAGTCCCATGAAGAAAGTTTGATGAAAACCTTTTTAACGAAAACAGGTGTTTATCAGGCAGGGAGGCTCTATTTCAATACACTATAGATTTACATCATGGGAAGTGTAGTATGCAACCTTGTTCATGTAAAAATCATATCTCTGCCTCAACAGTTATTTTAAAATAGTTCCCTTTGTAAAACACCTGTTTTCGTTAAAAAGGTTTTCATCAAACTTTCAATTAAGTGGAGTAATTATCTCCTAGATTGAAATTCAAGAGATTTCATAGAGAGCTGTCTTCGTGACTCTTAAAGAAAATCGCTGGTGTTTGTTGACGATAACTCTGTTGAATCAAAATATTAATAATATGAACCAGCACACTTAAATGTCAGTGCACATATTATTTGATTTAGCTCTTTTGAGTGCCTGTGATTATAGAACAAGATGTTTTTGAACTGCTGCTACTGATATTCACACATATAGATCCTGTGGGTTGTGTATACACTGGAAACACACACACACATGCACACACTCATGACATATTACACATTTGGCCTAAAGCTATGTTAGCTTCCTGTTGAATGCATTCCAAAAAAACGGCTTCATATCCGCTCTATCCGTAAACATAACTCATCTCATGAGAAAGACATGTGTCTGCCGCAGAATAAACTCTCTTCCACAAGGTATGCTTTTAGACTTTGTGACACATTGTGTGCTAAAAATCTGTGGCTGCACCTAATCCTTCGTGAGCATTTCAGGTCGTAGTGAGATTAACCTGAGATGGTCCGGCTGATTCCCTGGTTCAGCACCACTCTGAGAGAACAACCCCCAGTCTGTATTAAGTTATTAAAGCAAGGTAACGACTAATTTAGAGGTCAGCCATCTGCCTGGAGTCTGCAGTTCACAATATAACATACACCTAATCAACTAATGTAAGCTATCTTGTTTCATGAATCAGGGCTTACGTGACCGTGTGACTGTGCACTTCAAATCCAATGTTAACTTTCACGTCAAAGTAAAAATGTCAAACGTTCCTTGCAGATCTTTAAAATATAAGCCGGGTGTGTATAAGGCTTTATCACGTGCCCTGGTGGTAATGATAATGCACTCGTATGGGATTGGAGTGGTGTGGTAGTAGTGGCGTGTGTCTTTAGTCTGCGGATAGTTCACGGCTCATCGTATTGATTGTGTGTAAAGCCCCTCAGCCCAGACACTTAGATTAACAGGTTAACCTGATTTGTTTGGAGAAGGCTTAAACGGAACATTTGGGTAAAACGGATAAAGAGCTTTGGACACATTGTTGATGAAGCTGCTACAATATATTTAATTTATTTGTATAGTTTTTTAGAACAAATTAACCCTAACCCTGTTATTTTTTTTTACAATTAAGCAGAATTTAATCATTATTGCAATACTAACCAAGACTTGTACAGTATTTTTGAATGATAATTCAAGAATTAGGGTTAGGTATGTACAAGAAAAATGTTCGGGGAAGATTGATATGTCAAACGGATGTCAAAAGAAGCAACTTCAGAATCAGAACCTGTTTAATGCCAAGTAGGTTTCTACATACTTTTCTGTACAGGATTTTGCTTTTGTGTATAAAGGTGCTTACATAAACACAGAAAGAGCAATGACATTTAAAATAAGAACAAAAATAATTGCAAAACTATTATGGAGTAAAGAAAGGTAAGCATAAATATATAACAAAAAGAAATGCAATGAAAATATCACAAATTACTGTGAAAAAAATATGTACAATACATTTGATTTCAATGTGGAATTAAAAGTGTTAAAAATAAAAAATACAAAAATGTTCAAAGGTTCACAGTACAGAGTATAAGAAAGAGTTTGGAGAGTTCAGATACCAGGATAATTGCAAAGATGTGCATTAACGTAACATTTAATAAGAAGAAATATCTTCTCCATGGCATCATAATAGTCAATTCAATGGGGGACAATTGGTGACAGTCCTGTTTTAGCTCAACCAATTGCAAAAATTCCAAACAATTTAACAGATAATCATGTCAAGTAAACAAAACCGCAAACAACATCTATGTTCTTTTCTGGTAATCTGCTTTCCATACTCAGAAGATGTCTGTGTCTTTCTCAGAACACAATTTAAACCCGACTCAAGCACTTAACATTTGGGCGCTTTCTGTCTGTCATTATCTGAAGTCATGATGGCTAAAAATAATAAAGCATTACCTGCACATTAGAGAGATGAAGTGAGGTGAAAAGAGCACTTCAATCCAATTATTAGAAATCTGTTTTGGCTCAGAACGTTCTGCCACTACAATCCAACCATTTATGGCTGCTGAAAAAACAAAAAGATGTCAAGTTTGGAGCTGATTTTCAGTGCAGGTTTGGAAACAGCAACTGTGTGTAATACCCTAAATGGTGCCAAAAAAGTGATCACACAAAAAACTAAGATGGATAAACTGTCATAGAATTTGTGCATTATTACAATTGCTCAATTTTGATTTCTGAGAAAATGTACTGTGATTTGTTTGTCTTCAATTCTGGTGTTTTGGCCACTTGTGAAAGACAATCTTGTTCTCCCCGGGTTCTTTAAAAATAAATAGAAATAAAGACCATGCTGTCACACACAATGACTCTAGACAAAAGCCCCCATGCTAGTGATCAGACAATGTAAACCAAATTAGGCAGAAAAGGAGGAGAAAGAAAAGTTAGATGGCGGTATTTGTGTGTCGCTGGGCTTTTAATTAGTATTTAGCCCCACACAAACCCATGTCATTTGGCAGAGGTCTGTTAGTGTGACGACAGCCTGTTTCCAATCAGGCGTTGATTTCTGCAACATGTTTTTCTTCAGAGAAACGAAAACAGAGTTCATCTAGATGTTGAAATAGGGTCTGAATATTTTTGTGTAATTTTAACACTTAAAATAGTTGACATGCATAAACAGGGAAGAAGTATTCTCTGGTGAACCACTAGCAGTGAAAAGGAGCAAGGACAACAAGCTTCTTCTTCTGAGCAAAGAGAAACCCCTTTTTGCAGAAGGCTGTTCGAGCTACATTTCATCTTTTGTGTGCCAGATTGATGACCTATGAGATGGATGATGTTCTGTAGTGCTGTGTAGCATTGTCTTATCCCGCCCGACACAAAGAGGGGGAACACTTATCATCTCAGGCTTATGTATGGAGCAGGGGGCAGGGGTTGTCAGAATTGTGAAGAGGGTCCAGGAGGGTTGGGGGTGGCGGGGGTTCCCCCAGATAAAGCGTGGTGGAGATGGGCTAATGACAGCGGAGGCAGATGGAGAAGGCCGTCTCCCATGACTACGCAGCCAAAAACCTCCATCCTGACGCCAGAGAAGGACAGATACAGAAAGGGAAGGAGAGAAATAGAGGAAGGATGCCAAAATGAGAGAGAAAAGTGAAACAAGATCCGGTGTGTGTGTGTGTGTGTGTGTGTGTGTGTGTGTGTGTGTGTGTGTGTGTGTTTGCAAGCCAATCTCCATTATGGCGTGCTGTTTTAAGGTGTCTTTAAACAGGCAGGTTATTGTTTGCGTTAGCCTTTTAGCTGCACGGTGACTCGCTGGTGGCCCGGTTAGAAGAGCTTGGTTTAGGATTAGGCTTTGGGACATTGTTTGGAGGGTATGGTGGTGTGAATACAAAGGGATTAGTGCAAAGGGTTGCTTCATTGACTGTGAGTTTGTATGTGTGTGGGGGGTGGAGGGTGCTGAAGTTGATGGATGAATTGAATGGCCACCAAAAGAAAACATTTTGCTCTAATTAGGCAAAAACAAAATAAAAAAATGGGGGGGGGGGAATCAATAAAATGTGATAGAAACAAAAC